GCCGCCATTCTCTTCCTCGCGACGTGTGGCGGCCCGCCTGGGCTTGCCCAGGGCTCCTTGGACAGCCCTGGGCCTCGTCCGCGGGGCAGCGTGGCCCAGGCGGGGGGCTGGGGGCATGGCGGAGGCCCCCGCGCGGGGGCCGTGGGCGCGGCGGCGGGACATGCGGTCCGAGCCCGGCCCTCCTCGCAAGGCCCTAACGCGCCTTCCAAGGCTCAGTGCAAGGTGCAGGGAGAACGCAGGCCGCAGGTCGCCACGCTGTCGCCTCCACAGCAGGTGATGCGGGAGAGACCCGGGTTCAGGGTCCGGTTCTGTCCGGTTAACGGCGTTACCCTAAGGAGGTCACTTAACCTGCCTGTGCCTCTGCTCGTGACCCGGACAACCTTGAGGGGTTGGGGATGCCAAGTGAGATGACCCCCCGCGGGCCAGGTGCCCCCAGCAGGAGTGCAGTGACCTTCCCGTTGCTCCCGAGGAGCCGCCGAGGAGCCGGGTGCCGGGCCTGTCCTTGGCTTTCAGGAGGATGGCTTCAGGCCTCGGTGCAGGGAGAAGACAAAAACTGGCTTCCCCTTGCAGCCTGTGGCTCCAGCTGTCAAGATGTACCCTACAGAGCAGAGGGCGGGCTGGGTGGAGCAGAGCCCCGCTATCAAAACCATCAGGAACATAGAGGCGCTAGGGAAAGGAGGCCGCCTTGGGCTGCGGGTCGTTGTCCTCCGCAGAGAAATGTTAATAATCTTAAGATCTGCTTGGTTTAGCAGGTGGGATCTAAAGAAGAATTTGTGAAAGTCAGAAAGAAGGACCTGGAACGCCTGACGACTGAAGTAATGCAAATCCGGGACTTCTTGCCCAGAATACTAAATGGGGAAGTGCTGGAAAGCTTCCAGAAGTTAAAGATTGTGGAGAAAAGTGAGTCTTATCCTTAGCAGCCGTCGACGGCGACGCGTTGTGTTCCAGCAGACTAATCTCCCGTAAACAACCATAGGGCAGCTGTAAATACGCCTCGGGGTGCTGCTACAGTCCTTGTAATTCCTTGTGCGAGAGTCAGAAAAGACCTAAGGAAGAGAGGTGCCCTCACAGGAGGGAGTCAGACACCTACGCTCGTGTTGGAAGAAGGGCTGCCAGCTCTTCTGGAGTATCTCACCAGCTTCTCTTCCCCTCCAGCTCCCGTCCCTGGCAAACACGTGTGACGCTTTTGTCATTGAAAAGCGCTGCTCTGAAAATTAAGTGTGTCAGTTGAAGATCTCGCCCCGTGGACGGGTTGCATGGAGTTAACGTGTGTGCAGAGACCGGCGCGTGCGTACTTGTCTCTGGGTGGACGGACAGGTCAGTGTCTAGCCCTGATTTGAGTCCGGGACTGCCAGGACTTGTCCGTTCAGAGTTGGAGATGTGAGCTGGGCTGCCCGTCGGGTAGCAGTCTGGGCGCCCGTTGACGTCCTCAAGGCAGCCTCTGGGGCTGATTCTGCGCTTGCGTAGCTGAGGCTGAATTATAGCTGAGTCCGCCCGCAGCGCTCCAGGCTGACGCGCCACCCTGCGTCGGACCGCTCACCATCACCGGTGGTCTCTAGGAAGGCCGCAGGTCCCCAGCGCTAGTGCCGACGAGAAGGTGTGGGGACAGCACGCACGCCAGGTTTGTGCACGCGTCCCCGGCGGAGGGCGCAGCCGCGTCCGCTGGATGGGGAAACGCGCATGCCTGCCGGAGTTCCCTGCCCTGTTTGTTTTCTCTTAGGAATCCTCAGACCCACTCTCCTCTGCCCTGTGGTGTGTGCCCCCAGCAGGGGGCTCCTGCAGACTGCCCGCCTCTGACTTCTTGCTGGCTGCCCGGGGCTTACCAGTGGAAGGCGTCAGGGGTGGAGACAGGGGTTGGGGTGTTTCCTCCTGCGACCTCCACAGCTGTGGCTTCCACCTCAGGGCCCCGGAGACGGTCTCAGCTCCCGCTGAGTCTCTCCCATTCCCTCGTCGGGTGTGCTGTCGCTAGTTTCTGGGTGCCTCAGCAACCCCGTTGTGTCCCCTGTGCCGCTCTCCTCTCTGTAAGTAGTCCTTTCTGTGAATCTCAACATCTGGACCTCTGTTTCCCGCTGGGACCCTGCCGCATGTGCTCGTGTCACTGGTTACGCTGTCGCTCCAGGTCACTGGCCTCTGAGTCCCTGCTTCTGGTCCCATGCTCCTCCGACGACCCTCTGAGAGCAGTCAGTCGCCGCACGCGTTTGTCTTTGGGGAGGCGACGTGCTGACCCGTAGCAGGGTATGTCAGCGTGCTGGGTGGTTATGTCTCTCCGCGGGGTAATCAACCTGCGCTCAGGGTCTCACGGATTTGTCAGCACGAGGCAGTCTTTGGAGACACCACGTCAGATTGCGGTGCGTGCAGGAGCGAGGGCCACAGAAGAATCCGCGGTGACTCGATCACAGGCTTTGGGAGCTCTTGCCGCCCATCCCCTGGTCTTCCTCAGGCCCCGCGGCCATCTCTTCCTGCTCCCTGGCCATTTTGTCTTGGCCTGCTTTGCCGATGTGTCCTCCTCTGCGGCAGCCTTTCGGCTAGTGGAGCTGCCTGAGGCTCAGGCCTAGGCCCCTTCTCCCCTCACTCCGTGGCTTTTCCGTGGGTGGTCTCCTGCACACACAGCTTCGTGTCTGTCTCCATGTCGGTGGCTCCCGGGTTGATCTCTGGTCCTCGGCTTGGCCCAGACCCCCAGGCTTGCGGTCCTGTATCCAACTCCTCCTTGGTGTTTCTTCTTGCTTTTTTTTTAACGATAGTTTCAAGTTCTCACTATTTGTCTTACAAGCAGCCAGCCTGCAGCCGTCAGGAGGGACCCGCAGCCCGACGAGGGAGACCACACAGCAGAGGAACGGTGGGCCTCTTGACAACAAAATGCCGGCATTGCCGAAGGATTTGGGGAGGGATGGAGTTCAGGTGAAGTGCACCTTAAACATGTTTTGATGGGCTCCAAGTAAAATAGGGCCGTGTGTGGGGCTGTCACCATATCCTACTACAGTGGATCCGGGCCTTGTCTTTGAAAACCACAAAATGAATAGACGTGGAACATCGTGTCTGAAGTGCCTTATTTGAAGCTCTGCAGCCAGCAGGAAATCAAGGCTGCTGCTCTGTGTCCCAGTGACTTTGATTCTGCAGGGAACAGGAGGATGTTTTCTTTTTAGTGGTATAATTCCAAACAGCAGAATTTCTGATAGTCTGGGATTTTACAAAACAAGCTTTTTATGAATGAGTGGTCACCGAAAGAGGGGCCGTTAAGACACTGCCGTGCGTGCTTTCCTGTTAACTTGGCAGCTGGCTCTGTGTGTTCGTTAGCCCAGCCTAGCAAACTGCAGGACACATTGCTACTTTCTGACCTCTGACCCGTGATGTCCATCCTCCTACCCTGCCCCACGCTGGGCTTGCTCAGCTTCCCCAGCACCTCCATCCGCCTAGAGGCCTGGGATCCTCCTCACTGCCCGCCTCTCCTCCCCCGCGCCCCCAGTCTCTCTTCCCATTAAGTCCTGCACGTTGCCACTCACGGGTGCATCGTGAATTCACTAGCCTGCCTTCACTGCCACTGCCACTGCCACGGCCACCACCGACCCGAGCCCAGGACACTGTTGTCTTGTTTCGTGTTTTGCCTGAAGCTCTGCCTCCTGGCAGCGTCCGCTTGTCGTCACTTTCCAGTCTGTCGTGTGCACTGCAGCCAATGTAGTTTTTAACCGTTGTTAGCTTGCGTCATTCCCCTGCTTAATTCTTCAATGGCTTCTCCTTACTTTTAGGACTTTAAAGACCGGAAAAACACCCCTTTCCCCAAGAAAGCAATACCGCCCGAAAACCTAAGCAAAACTGTACCATGGCTTGAAAGATTTTGTTATTGGACTTAGACTCAGGTTCAGATTCACTTTCTTATCTGACTGTCTAGATATGTCGTCCTGTTAGTCCCGTTAGATGTTATAGCACACCGTTCTTTTCCTTCAGATAAAGTTTTATTCTCATCTTACGGTAAGCGTGGGTGGGAAGGCAGGGCCCCTGTTTTTGCCTCCCATTTTATTCTCTGTGCCTGAATATTTGGTCCTGAGGTTACTTCTCGCCCGGTGTCTGCGTGCTCTTCTGTCCAACTTGCTTGCTATCTCATGAAGCTAAGGTGCCATAGGCCCCTCGGTGCTGGGAGAAAGGGAGGACCAAAGTGGACTTTGACGTAAATCAGGAATGGTTAAGATTTTAAACCTTTTGCCGTGCAACCTCAGGGTGTTTTCCGGTTATACCGATCTTGAAGCTTGAAATCAGGGTTAGATACTTTTGTTTCATAATTACGTCACAAGGTCTGATAATTTCTTGTCTTTCTTGATTGGCACTGGTTCATTTAGAGAAACAGTGAAAAAGTCACTCAGCCTCTTTTCTTTTCTCCAAGTTACTTAACATATAGCGTAATAATGGTTCCAAGAGTAGAATTGAGTGATTCATCACTTACACTTAACACTGTGCTCAGCCCAACAAGTGCCCTCCTTGATGCCCATCCCCCATTTAGCCCATCCCCCCACCCCACCCCTCCAGCAACCTCAGTTCTCTGTATTTAAGAGTCTCTTAAGGTTTGTGTCCCTCCCTGTTTTTATATTATTTTTGTTTCCCTTCCCTTATGTTCATCTGTTTTGTCTCTTAAAGTCCTCATATGAGTGAAGTCATATGGTTTTTG